CCCGGGACTTCATGGGCAGAACTGCTGATGAGACCCAACCAGGTCGAAACAGCTGTCCAGTGCTTCCGAGCTTTTCAGTTCACGTTATTATATGTATTAGTATTTTGAAAGGGATTACTATCCATTCATCGATTGCCTGAAAAGAGATTATGATTCACTATTTGCTTTATTTGCAAGAAGTATGGTGATAGGATGAGCTTTTTTTATCAGGATGAAGGGGAAAATGGGGACTAAGATTAAAAATTTTGTCACCTTGACGATCGGAAGGAACTCATACACAGGTCTGCAAACACTCGAATTAAGTTCCAGAGTGTTATGGGCTGAGAACCATGGAATTATGAAGGAAGAACAAAAGCATACTGGGTGCAGGATAGTATACCAGACATGGAAAGTTTATCTCCGGCAATCGTCCTAAATTCAGTCATTTTATAGACTCCGGTGATATCAGAGTTGTTCTCCATTGTTGATCATTTGGAAACGTCAAAAAGCTTAGCTGAACACACTACCCGACCGGTCATCTGAGTCCGGAGACTTGCCTAGTTTTTAATTTATTTCAGATCTTTTGATTTTTTCCAATCGTTCTGTTCAGTTACCTCAATGTTTTACAGCGATGTCTATTTTATTACACGCCATCCTACGAGCTTGTATGCCAAAACCAAAGATGTCAAGTCCTAGCAGACCGGGTCCGTGAAACACGTGCAAGAGCGTAAGGAGTCTAATTAAGTCCGCTGGTTTAGATCAAACAAGTGACAAATAAACTTCGAAATCCTAACTCCCATTGCTTGTGATTAGTGATGTGGAATAATTGATATTGATTGATTTGAACTGAGCTGGTTGTCACAGTGGTGATGCACACGCCTTCCGTGCGAGTTCAAATCCCGGACGGGATTGTGGATACGTACTACTGATGAGCTCTAATAAGAGCGAAACTCGAGTCTAGTGCTTCCGAGTGTGCGGGTGAATCGCTGAACTGAGGATTATGTGTGAAGGTGAAAAATAGTCAGCTCAACTCAATCAAATAAACATCGGTCGTTTTAATTGGTTATTCTTGCATTTGTCTACTCTACCAAGAAACCAGGCCGTATTAGCGCCAATCTTGAACACAAACCATTTGCACTGCCCATAAAATTCAGGTATAAATTATCGAGTAAATGCGGTATGACGTACGGTGATGGCACAAGTTTACAACTCGGATGATTTTGAGCTTGTTATCTCATTTATGAACGTTTCGTCATTTTTGCTTCCTTTAACTTGACAGTCAATTTTCAGGAAAGGAAAAGGTACTTCTCGAAGGACCTTCATCAGATACAAGGAAGACGGAAACAATGCGCAGCTGTTGTAGTAGTGTGATTCGAACTAATAACCTCCATTTCGGTGTGATTGTGATGTTTCCTACTTGACCGCTACCGCCCAAGCTGGGCAACATCTTTATAAGATGTAAAGCATCCTTTTTTCTACATCCATTTCATCAACACAAAAAGACGTATGTGGGTGAATTTGATATTAGCCATCGATTTCGCGTGCTCTTATTTAGCTGCAAACGCACATTTATGTAATCATATCAAAGAAATAAACTTGGAAGCTGAAATGAACGATAAAATCTGATATGAATGTGAACTGGTTCAAACGGCATAGTGAATGTGATGGACCGGGGAGAGTGAAAGCCACATCAAAACTAGAATTGTGGCATCAAGCCTACCATCATCACTACCATGACTACAACAGTTACTCCGTGAGCATTATTGAACACAACGGCGGTTTGAATAGACCAAGAATTATCGCTTCTAAAAGTTCAGGTGTATAAAGCGATTCCTTGATTTGACTTGACTTGTTCTTAAACTTCCAAATCTCGTAATGGCTCTAAATGCTTTTGGTGACCAGAGTCTAACAACTGCCTGGATGGTAGTTTCCCTCTGAGAAGACTAAAGTGCTTCGAGGCTAGTTCCGGTTGATAGACCTTCTGTCCTTCCGATGTACCCCTGAGTGGCAGGTAAACTAAAATGAATAGATTCAGTTCGAGGTAACACCAACGTTTTCTCGATCCCGAATGATACAACGAATTGTCCGGTAGACAACCAATAGTCTAGCAAAATCGTACTTTCTTTCTACGGCTCATGATAAATGACGAGATATTTTTGTTGACACCTAATCTCCGTTTAAGGGGGTTCTATGTGGATGTCTTTCTTCTTAACAAAAAGGCAATGGGCCTGGGGTTGACTGGATTACTGTACTTGTGAATGAACGTAATCGGATAACCCGGGGGGTGGTGGCCAAGTGGTTAGGTCACCAACTAGTGACCTGGGTGTCCCGGGTTCAAACCGCTCCACCGCCGCCCTTCCTCCCAGGCAGCCTTTGTATGGTCGTGGTCTCCCTTCCTGAATGTTGACTGTACATTTTATATTCAATAAATAGAAAAAGGAAGTAAAAAGACATTTAAAATTTAAACCATCGCCCAGCAAAGTATGAGCCAGTCGGTCTAGTTCATCTGGCAGGACTTGCGGGCCACCTTTTTGGGCAATCCCTATGAAATGGAGTACGTACTAGATCAGGTTTTTATCCCAGAAACTCCTGAAGTGTAAATGTTGCCCTGTCTACCTAGGCTTTAGATGCATAGATATTTGAAGTTTCCAGTCTGACAATCGATTAGACAGCAAATCAAGAAATAGAATTTTCGATTCTTATTCTAACGTCATTTTGATATTGGGATGCAACGAGTTCAACCTGTGAACTAATGTCTAAATATGTCTTTTTGCGCGCGCAGTAACTAATATATCATCAAAGTACTGTCGATACAGCAAGGTCTAATTCAGTTTCTCTCCCCATTTGTTTTCTGCTTTTGATGGAAAGATATCAGCCATAATTGGCCCCATAGGGATACCCATAGCTACATCATCAACCCGTTTATAGAAGTTCCCGTTGAAAACAAACTGTACGTCACAAACACAAATCCATGAGGGTTTTTCAAATAACTCGCCAGAAAACCTTTTTCACTGGCATATTTAGATACTTCGCTCACGGATTCCTCGATCGGGACATTTGTGAACAAGGATAAAATATCATAGGAGACAAGAAAACAACTGAGGTAACCTGCGTTTTTTATTGAAATGTGTCCTTCAGTCCGAACCTAGACATTTTAGCACTTATTCGAGTTGAAATTGTGAAAAGTTCATTAGCCTCGGTGGGAGTTGAACCAACGTATAGCAGCCGCCTACGGTCATGTACATAAGACTTTATTCTGTCAAATAACAGTTTCAACTTATTGTAGTAATGAGCCTCGCAAACGATTGCCTGAGTTTGTGTTGAGGAGTGTTAACCATCGATAGGATTGGTCTTAATGAGATCCCGGTAAACCGTACATTCATGCGATGTGTGAACCCCGAGGTTCCGTTTTACTGACCTTCTTGTATTTTGGTTTGACCAGATCATGTAAATGTACGTTTACAGCTGAATGAGAGCAGGAGAAGTTAGTGGCCAATATCGATTCGGCCCAGATACGTCTTTTTGTGCTGATGAGAACTTCATGAGAATTTTAATGCACACACACCCAAAAAACTTTCATTTATTTATGTTGATTTAATTTAGTAGGGTGGGAAATTTAACCACTTAAAGTACATAAAATCCTGGGGTGACCGCCCGTTGAGATGTTGGTGTTCACTATAGTGATGGTGAAAGGCCCTTAAGATAATAATGAGCTCAGAAAACAAAATATTAGTGAAAACATGACGTGCTCTTTCTGTTTTGATTCGATAACTAACTTTTGCGTAATCTCGTTGGTCACAAAACATTCTGTATCACACAGAGATTTGAGAAAGAAGCTTACATGATTTTTGTGATTAACCGAGGATTTAATTCAGTTAGAAAGGGGAAATTTGTCGTGTATATAGCAAATGAAACGTGAACTAAAAAGCTAGGAAGCACTGTGCATACAAATCTTTCTCCCGATCAAACCACATTAGGTTTCGTTTTCGCAACTTTTCACCTACAATTGTTTCTCCCCTCAACGAATCTCTCAGACAGTCCTCTTTATGATTTTCATTATCTCCTTCTTCTCTATTCACATGTGTCCCCCTATTCACCCAAACAATCAATGCCATTTATAATTACTGCTGTCCTGTGCAAAGCCTACATGTGTCCAAAAGAAGGATAAACTCACCCCTACTAAAGTCGCTGCGACGACAAAAGGAACGTGCGCACAAGTCTCACAATGCTTCATTTGTCAGGTACTTGTCCAGGCTTATCAAAGTTGAAGTAAATAGATTGAATGCATTATTCTCCGATCGAATTCTGAGGACTGGAAACAGCAATCACCTGTGGCAAAGTATAAGACTTCTCTGTGGAAGGAAGGAAGGTGGAAGCTGGATGTGGATGCTGATGATCTCAATGCCCCATTCCTGCGCGTCATCGGACATTCTTCCTGCCTACTCGTCACAAAATGTTTGTAACGGAACCATTCTCATACTGTAATGTGTTAAAACGTTTCAATAGTTGCAATTTTCCATCTGCTGCAGGCCCCGATGACTTACATCCAGCCCTCTTCAAACTTGGTACGGCTTCCCTAGCTGGAGCAATCACCTCCATTGACAATGAATCTCTTCACACTTCTACTATCCCCGACTGTTGGAGGCCGGTCACAATCACACCAATCCCCAAAACTCCCAAAGCTTCTATCCTCTCCAAACATTTTCGTCCCATAGTTTTAACATCAGCTCTTAAATTGACTGAAAAGACTATCCTCAATCGCCTTCAGCAGTCTATAAACATTCTCAGTGATCCGTTACAGTTTGCTTACAAGCCTAATAGATCCACCTTGGACGCAGTCTCCACTCTCATTTATTTTATCGCTAATTCTTTGGACAGCTCTGTTAAGTCTGTTTGGTGTGTTTTTCTGGATTACTCTTCTGCATTTGATTCCATTCCTCGATCGAAATTGCTACAAAAATTGGAGTCGTTTGAATGCCCAAAGCAGTTGTTAGCTGGGCTATTCAGTTATTTTACTGATAGAGTACAAACCACTAGATTGGGGAAGTCTTCATCTAAACAGTCAACAACTCCGGGGATTCTTCAAGAAGCTGTACTATCCCCATACTTATTTTCCACTCATATTTTTTATATTCCCTGTGTTTCTCCTGCACGAATTTTGAAATATGCAAATGTTGTGCCAACCCATTTATTCTTACTCTGATCTAAGTTCTTTCACCGATAATCTTGATCAAATTCAGTCTTTCACCTCCTTATCAGGGCTGACTCTAAACCCCAGTAAATGTGTTGAGTTTATATACTTTTGCTCGCTCTCCATATCCGACAGACCCCACAGTGATTATTAACAATCCTTTATCCAGGTTAAACTGTCAAATATCTTGGTCTAACCGTAGATAGCGATCTTAATTGGTCAACCCACATCCACAACTGGATTGGTAAACTGCGGCGCCTATCTTTTCAAATACGAAATCTCAGTCAGTTTCGCGCATCCCAGTCAGTTATTTCCACCTTTGTTTACCAGTGTGTTTTCCCCATCTTACTTTGCTGTTCCCCAGTTATTTTTCCTGGCTTACTCAAACGGGATTTCAAAGTCTTACGCCNTACGCCGCGGTCTAACTATTATTAGTCGTGTCTCTTCTATTCCTGTGAATGAATTAGCTTTAAAACTTTCAGAGCATCACGTATCTTCCTGTGTGAAATTTGCTGAGAGGATTCTCACAGATCCTGAACACCCATTGCACGCAGAACTGACAGGTCGTCGTGCTCATCCTTCAACACGCTCCCAATTCCGTCAAATTGTATCTCGAATTAACGCTTACCGCAATTCACCTATACCGTATCTTGCTCGTCTACTCGTAAACAAAGAGCGAACAATAACTGAACTTTGTCTTAACTTTGGATCATGAAATGTCCCATGTCTGTAAATATTTTCTCCCCGTTGATTATGTACATTGTGACGGTTAGCGTGTATAATTTTTCACTGAAATGTAAGCTCCAGTGCTTGCAAAAGTTATACACGATACACAATGACAGCTTTAGGCAATGGAAATGTTTGTGACAACCGACATTTTGTGTTCCTGTCAGGACTCAAGCCGTGAAATTTCGGGGTGGGACTTCAAACTCTGCGTACCCTAACAACGCACTGCTGATGAGTCCCAAACAGGACGAAACAGCTGTCCAGCGCTCTTTGTCGGTTATCACAAATATTTCCATTGCATGTAAATGGATGAACTTGTCGGAAATTACGATCTCCCAAGGAGTTAAACCCACACCCAAGACCACCAAGAATACCTGGTGCCTCTTAACAATCCAATAGGCTAATCCAAGCTTGCTACTCTAAAACACTAGACAGTTATTTCGACTTGGTTGGGTCTCATCAGCAGTGCTAATCCACTGACCCAACTGAGGGTAATTTGCTATACATACGACGAACTTCCCATGAATTTACCACGATTGTGTCTGGTACATTCCCCATTTGTTGGTTAATAATTTTTCGATAACCTGTAACCGTTCCATAATATTTCACTAGTAATTTGTGAGGTAAACTAAGGGGAAATAACGGTGTGAACACAAAAAGTCATTACCTTATGATCAAACTGTTCTGTATCCATTAATTCTACATCTGGACGCTTGTTTTCAACTTCGTTTCTATTGTTGCCTCCGTTGCGAACTGAATGCATGGCGATCCTGGGAATGAAGAATAACACTAGGAATTGTGATATCGCAAAGAACGGCAGATGACAACTCTTCAGCTCAGTTGAACCGTGAGAAAACCCAGTCTTGATTTAGATTGCTGTATTAAGTCTATCCATCTGGTCAACTAAAGGCGGGGGAAAAAATAATAGATAGAAAACTAGAAGACAGACATTGAAGCCAAGGAAATGTATGAAAAAAAAATTTCATCAAGGTATCATCATTATTGTACAGCGTGACATTGTGAAGTGAACTTCACTGATCGCTGCCAAACCCGTAATGAAGACAAGGTTAGTAGTAATATTTGAGGTGGCCAGGGATTGGGCCCATTTTGAGGGAGGTGGCAGAAGGTCAACCTCTATGGTCAACACAGAGTACACTATCAAACTCCACATACATACGGCTTCAAGCATTCTGGACTGATAAGAAATGACAACAAGAACATCGCTACTGTCGGTTTAATGTCTCCAACCAATCAGTTACAGAGTCTTTCCGACCCCTAACCTCGAAGGTGCGTGACAGATACTCTACCTAGTAGCTCTGTGCATTTCTTTATGCCTCGTCTTCACGTCATCTGTTGACCTCCAAATGGTTTCCCCCAGCCCGGAGAGGCTGCAGCGAATAAAGCGCTGTGAGGCAGACGACAGCTGGGCATACGCAATATGCACCCTAGCTAGCAAAGCCTACTAATCTGAATTTCATGTGCTAACAGGTTTATACCTGATAGACTCCCAAACACACAACGGCTTACCTCCAGATTACTAACCCGTTCGCTTCATCCCACATAGACTGAACTATGTAAACAACGATTATCGGGAATTTCTAGTCGATGGATATCTTCTATTCGTAGTTTCAAGGTCTTACAGCCATGAACCAACAGTAGCACAATGTATACGACATTTCAACCTCAGTGAAATATTGCGTCTACGCCAAGTGTTTCAATCCTGCTCCAGCCTTGAGAATTCGGGCGCTACCGCCATTGGTCACGCAACTATCTAAGTAAGAAAAGTAATACTCTATAACTAATTCCTGGCCATTTAGCTACAAAGCGGGAGGAGGCGACACAGCCTTGTAGCATCAGTTCTCACTTTGAAGATGCAAAGCGCATACTGTATGTGGTAACAGCACTTTTTAGTCTGTCAAGTGCGCTTTGCGCGTCCTCCGTACATTCGAACGGACAGCTCATGTCATCGTTGTATTCTACATCGCACAGGTTTTCTACATCTACTTATCCAATACCTGCGTTTTAGAAATATGATTCGTTCTCCAGAATTTCGTCCACGATGAAATCGAACAGGAATGGCGGAAGAGGGCACCATTGACGAACGCTGCTGCTGGTGACAAACGGCATACTTAGTTTGTTGTAAACCGTAACTGGATCAGAGGTATGTGTGTACAGTGACCTCAGTAAATTAACGTACTTCTGCGGCCTTCATTTCGAAGAAGGGAACCCATCAGAGCTTCGGGGTCAAATGAGTCCAACGCTCCTTGCAGGTCAAGGAGCACTGCGCTCGTTGATCGACGGTGGATCTGACGCAGCTCAAGGATCTGATACAACGTAAAAATTTGATCAATACATCCCTTTGCAGGCCAGAAGCCTGCTTGCTGTTCACGGATATTGGTCTCTCTAAAAGGAGTCAGACGTCGAAGTATGACGGAGACTAGCACTTTGGCGACGATCGGAGTCAAACTTACCCCACAGTGGTTTCCGCAATCGTTCAGAGATTCTTTCTTGAAAATGGGAACGATCAGTGATTCGCCTCAGGATGAAGGAATGCGCTTGGAATGTCAAGTAAATCGAAGTAGCAGCGAAGACGACTAACATTAAGGCAAACCAACTGATTTATGAAAAACGTTGTTTACGGCATTCAGCTATATCACTTAGTGTCTCAATTCATCCATTGTTTCGACCGGAGGAAATTCAATCAAAAATGCTGAAGCAAACTGTAGCCAAGCGCACTGGTCGGAGTTAGTAGACATTCGCGACAAATTGGAATCCAGAAATTCCTGACCTGATAACCGTTGCTTATCTCAGCAAAAATAACCGAGTGAAGCTATTCACTGAAGCTTATCCGAGCAGACCATACCGACTTGAGACAAGTTGGGCATTTACTCTGTGGATGAGATCCAACAAAGTCGGCAGTGCTTCCCTAAAGTTTCATTTCACACTTCCTTAGTTTCGTATACTTCCACTATCGTTCTATAATATAAAAAGATCATGGATGTTTTTTTCTTTACTTATTCCTCTCTTTATTGAGACCACAAAGCCTTAGAAATAGTCTTTTAGCATTTGGAATGCCGAGTAAATCCAAGTGGCAACGAAAATGACTTATAGTGATTACCTATATGCATTACTATATCATGATTCAACAAGGCACAGAAAAAGACTGACAAAAGGCTAGTATATGCCGGGATGCTGCTTTGCAGCTACATCTGCGAATGGCGAATGAGCTTCCACGGGGCCATCGGCAACCATGCACCAACACGCTGCTGCCTTGCAATTCGCAATCGGCTGTGCAAAGGCTAGGGGTGTCCCCTCGAAAAAAGCCGAGTGATGCTAGTGAGGGAACACATTTTCATGATAATCCATGATCCCGTTACGCGCGCACTCATGGAACCTGCTAATCTTGTCCAAGGATTCATCTGCAGTAAAAATAAGTGCGAAAACATAAAAAGAGTCGCGCGAACTCAAGTTGCTTTAGCTATATAGATGTGTGTCTGATCCGAAGAGAACGACTGATGCTGGTTGTCGGTTTGTAAATCAATTATGACGGTGAAGAAAATGGGATCGTTGGAACTCACGCATAGTTATCCGATTATCTCTGTAAAATCCAGTGTATCCTTTTTCATAAAGAACACTAGTAATTCGTCTTTCCGTTATTCAAAATTCTCTATCAACCTCCAACGAAGTTTTTCCTTGAGTTTCCTGGCGCTTCATTTCAGTCTGGTAGAAACTTCGACGAGCATATTCGATACAATAAAGGTTGGTAAAATGAAACATTGAATGCTTTCCCCACTCGATCTTTCTCTTCCCACCACACTACTTGAAAATAGATACACAGAGTAGGCTGCTGTTACAAGACCAGCGCTTCAGTTTATACCTGTAATGTTATTGAAGCATATTACAGGATGATAAACCCTACTCGTAAAGAAATGTAGAGATAAACCTGTAG